TATTTTAGTGTTTTCTTTTATGATTTTCATCTATTGTGTTTTGATTTGTCAGCTGATTTCATTGGATTTTCGTTAAGAATTAGCGAATCTAACGTTTTGGTCGTAAATCATAAGGCAATTGAGAATGAATTACCCACTTTTGCTTTCAGAAACTTGTATGGTGAACTAACTATTTCGGCATGTATGTGGAGCGCGAATTACGTTTGAGAAAACGAAACAGATAATTAGGCTGTCGTGGAAGTGCGGTATAAGGGATTTAATTTGTGGAGGCGTACCGTTAAAATGACCGAAAATCGATAAACGAAGGCACGTAGATATGTTCAACGATAATAACATACTAAAATAACTGACATTTGAAAATATGCGACGGTCTTACAAGGGAATCCTTTTCTCTAAAATTAGAATATATTTTAAAAATCTGCTTTATGTGAGGAAGGTAATGGAGTCTGATAGCAAATATCCGCCTAACTCTGGCGAAAAAATCAATTTCGACATTCACATTCAGAGAATACTTACATATAGACCGAGATCCGAAACCAAGAATCATTTACGAATACTAAAGAAATTAAAAAAGAATATATTTTTGCCGAAATTTAGTTCTAAGAAAATCCAAAGAATGAAATTGTAGCTTGTGGGGCACTAGATGTCGCCATGAAAATAGGGAATTCATCTTTAAAAATCTCTGGCAAAAAAAATTGAACAAAAAGGAAGCGATATACTCGTATATACAAATAATATGTGCTCTAGAAGTTAACCACTGTTTTTTTTTTATATGAAAAGGTTTACACGGAAGGGCACCAAAGATTGACATTTTCAAAAAAAATCTTATTATTGGTTCGATTTACTTGTTGTTCAGTACAAAGATAGCTTTTTACTTAGGTTAACAGGAGGAGTGTTGTTCTCTCAGAGAAGTTGGCAAGGAATTTACAGATGCAAAAAATCGTACTCATGGTTCGATATTCTTGAAACTCAGTGCCACTTTACTCAGATCAACCAGAAATCTTTCGGCGAAGGGGACCAAAGACAGCCTTATTTGGAAAAATCGTACCCATGGTTCCACTTATATGAAATCCAGTACATATGCTGAAGCGATTTTCGGTCGAGGTCCTTCTTGAATTAGTGGTTTTGCGTCTTGTTGTTTTTCCAAGAAATGGAGGGACCTACAGTTTATACTAAACCGCCTCCGGACGGCTGATGTCTTTTTAAAGAGAAGCTTTTATTTCATATCAGAAACACACTCGAAGGGGTTGACATGCCCTGCCGAGCGGTGATCGCTATTAGAAATGTTAACTTAATTTTTTATTTAAATTAATTGTCTATAGTTTTTTGGATGTTTTCACGACACCAGGACTTGATACCAAGTCTACGGATTGTCAGTACGCAATGCTAACCACTCGCCTACCGTGGCCAAGTACATAGATGGCTTATTACTCAGAATAATAGGAAGCCTACTCTTATCCCCGGTAATCGGGCCAAGGATCGAACTCTTCGATAAAATCATATTTTTGGTTCGATTGACTTGAAATTCGGTATATAGGTGGCTTTTGCAATCAAGATCAAGGCCTCATGAAATCCAATTATATGCAGAGAGCGCTCTAACGATAGGATCATTACTTCCAAACAAAAGGGGTAATGAGGGCACAAAGTTCTATGAAGAACATTACAGTTGATTGGTTCAAACAATACTAAGCAATCCTCTAGGCGAGATGACGATGTCACAAATCAATAGTGATGACTGAATAGAACGTCGAAGAGTGAGTGATTTTAGATTTACATTCACACATTAGGAAGAAAATGAGTAAACCCACGTTGGACGTGATTAACGTAGGTAAATCGTGCATCAAACAATACACCATAACCTAAAATTTCATTACCACTAGAGAATCCATTAGATCCCAAGATGTTCAAATTATTCCAAATGTTCCGAATGCTCCAATTAGCTAAATAGTTAAGATCATGTCTCGCAAATACAACTATTGATTTATATAGTTTTAATAAGTCCGCATAAAGCCAGTTTCAATGTCATTTATAAATTGAAGAAAGTACCAAGAATGCTACCTTGAGGTTCCCCAGAGGTGCCAAATGCATAAGATTTCTTTTTTTTTTCTATTCTATCAGAAGGTATTCGGTCGAAGACATGTGCTCAAAGCCAAGAAAGAAACATAGAGTGAATACCTTAGCACTTGAGCTGTCGTAATAGAAGACTATGCGGGGCAGTGTCGAAGGCTTTGGAAAAGTCGATGAACGCGACATCAACTTCGTATCCCTCCTTAAGAGCTGCAATGCAATAACGAGAAACACAGGCTAGGTTTGCGACAGTAGAACAGCAAAAACTTTTTTATCCTCGATTACTTTCTCAAGAAGTTTGGAAATAATTTTCTAGTTTGGATATTACTTGCCAACTTCTGTAATTGAGTGACATCAAAATAGGAATTGATACACGCAGTCTTCCGAAAATTAATTATATTGAGATTGAGATGTTGACGATCTCAACCATACTTTGAAAGCGAATGCGTCACATATAAATAAATAAACGTCGTGTGGATGCAGATGTGGCAGTCAATTATCCAACAAAAGTTCTAAGTTTTTCGGACTTAGCGAGGTTCCCACCGCACATATGAAATTTGAAAATCACTTCGCCCACTATAATGCCAGGTGATTATATTAATCAGCCGAAACTCTGCAACGGTAAACGAACTGCGGTTAAAAAATTATAAAGATACGTAACAGTACAAACAATTCTGAATCGAATGGCAGGTCATTCCTCGAATTCCTTTCATTCCGTTCGAGACTCTCAATCAATTCAAACGATTACAGTTCCCTGTTCGACTAGTCCGTGCAGTCACCAGCAGCAAAGCTCGGGCCAATCTTTGGAGCTGTGTGATATACATATATTTATATGCGGATTGTCTCAGCTACGTGCAAATGTAGGTGGTTGTTCTACGGTTGGACGACGAGATAACCTTTAATTTGCGTGGCCGCTGGCAAAACCAAAATTATTGCGTAAATAAAATTGCAATAAAAAGATATCCAGTGTCTAATTTTCTTGCAGAATGCAGCTGGTATAATTTTAAAAATGTTGTTCTTCTACGACAGGTGCAACAAATTATTCTTTTATTGTTATTTACCAAAAATGTCTGTAACATAAATTACAATTTTTATTTTCCTAATGCATCGCATGTGTGTTCTTTCTCACGGAACTCCTTCGCTTACCAACTATTTTGACTATTTTTTTTTTTTTTTTTTTTGACTTTTACGAAAACTGTTTCGTGTTCGCTGACGCCTGGTCATAAAAAACGATGATGACGGCTACGGCTGTTTGCTGCATAGTTTCTGTACCACACCTTGGCAAAAAGAGAAAGAAAACTAGAATTTAAATGAAAGTCGTATTTGTTATTACCAAACGGCGTCATGACAACAGCTAACCAATAACACTTTCCACCAATGCTAACCAAATTGTATAACGGCATTACTATTTAGCCAATTGCTAGGATACGCCATGGCCAACACCCAAAACAATAGTCGTGCCGTGAACGTAAAGTAAGGCGCGTGCATTACAAACATTAAATACTGCTGGCACCAGTTTCCCGTCTAATGGAATTTATTCAGTTTTTACACTTCCAACAAAACCATTAAGTATGGTAACGAATAATAAACAAAAAATTATTAAAAAAGGCGAAAATAGCGTACATTTTTTTGGAAATATTCAGTCTGAGAGTAGTGCAAAAATTGCTAATCTCCTTTAGTGTTGCGTGCTTCTCATTAAGACTACTAAGAAACTAAGGCAACACAAAAAGTAATTACAATAACGGTATAAGTACATAAATGGCGGCTCAGTTGCTATGTAGACACTATGTCGCTGAGTCAGAAATTATATAAAATCACAAAATTCACAAAAAGTGTTTGTAAAAAATTTACCAAAAAAATGCGTAAAGACAATGAAAACTCGACAAAGTGTAGTTCTCATTAAACGTAAAATGCTTCTAATGGTTTTAAATAATCGATAGCAGGAATTCAGCCATAAATGTTAACTAAGTGTGTGTAGTGATGCGCAAACTGAAGTTTTTATATAAGCAATACATATGAGTCTACTTAGGTGCGCTTGCACGTACTAAAGCATGTAAGTATCTGCTATACTATATATTTTTAAAGCTTGATAAATCGATTTTAAGAGCAGATCCACCTCGATATATAAAAAATGAACACGAAAGAGACAGAGTATACACAAGGATTTTTCGTTTATGTGTGTGTCATACATGTTTTTATATTAAAACTAATTTTATACAATGCGATTTATAGTTGTGTTATATTGTTTTAATTTATTACTTACTTTTTTATATAACTTTTTCATTTTTCGCCATTTTATTTAATTTAATTGTATTTTGTTTTGTTTATTTTAAATTCATTTTATTGAATTTAGTTTAAAGTCTTTTAAATTTGTTTTATATACTTTTTGGTTGTTTTATGTTTTTGTATTATCATGAATTTATATTAATTATATTTAATTTGAGGTAATTTTTATTGTTTAACATGATCAATTTTACTTTTATTTCATTTTGTTTTCATTTTTTTAACTTTTTTATTGCAATTTATTTAATTTAATTTTATTTTATTTTATATTATTTTTTTATTCTTTTTTTATTTTATTTTATTTTATTTTATTTTATTTTATTTTATTTTATTTTATTTTATTTTATTTTATTTTATTTTATTTTATTTTATTTTATTTTATTTTATTTTATTTTATTTTATTTCATTGTATTATATTTTACCTTATTTCGTTGTAAATTGTTAAATTTTGTTTTATTTCAGTTTTGTGTTTATATTATTATTATATTTTTTTATTATAATTTTATATAAATTTTTTTGATTCAATTTTAAAAGTAAAACCGAACCGAGGTTTTTACTTAAATTAAAAATATATATTTGTCTACCATAAATTGTCCAATATAATAAATATAAATACATAAAATAAATAGTTTGTATGCCTTTAAGCCTTCTCTATTTAGCAGCGTAGACGCGGAGGCACTTCTTTGATTTGATGATCTTCGCCAATTTTATAGACACCAATCATACCGCGTGACGATTGACTATCCAGCGCGCTGTGATACATCCAGTAGCCAGGATTGCTGCTATAGAAGCGTACAATTGCGTAGCCGAGTGGAGGTACCTGCACAGTGTCCTTTTGTATTGGAAAATCATCAGTTGAGCGCTGCAACAACCCTCGTCTGTCCAGATCCTTTACCTGCAGTGTAAACATTTTCTATTATTGAAGAACATATTGATTTCAAAATTAATTGTCTCTCACCTGTTTCTCATCCACAACGCTACCTAAGGCATTCTGCCCAACCAAACGGAAAGTGTAACCATGTAAATGCACCGGCGTAGGTTCATTATTATTGTTGACCAGAACAATTTCCAATGCACGATATGCTGGTAAACGCACCACATTAGTGCAAATACAACTCTTCGTCTCACAATTTTGTCCCTTCGCAGAGAGCATCGACCGGTTGCAGAATACGCCAATCTCATTGTACAGGCCATTGGTTTGTAGGAGTGATATTTTCGATGACTTATATGTAATATCATCGATTTGGTATGCGACATCTGCAGCACCACCATAAACACGACTACCAAGTAGCGTATAATGTGTAAAGAAAGCGGTATCACGCGTCCACGGCACTTGCTCCAATGAACTCAAACCAACTGTAGCCACATTGGTGGCCTTAAAATCAGCTCTACCGCAGCCGCTTTGACTAAGTGAAACGAATTTCTTCAACTGGTCCTCATAGTCGCCCAGAATGAAATACTCCTCACTACCATTATCACAGATGGATGCCTCCATCATGGGTTGTTGGGGCAGTGCACGTGTTGGCCCACTTTGATAAGTCAATATTGCGCCTTGATAAAGGTTTTCCTTAGCACAACTCTCATATCCGCGCACTTTAATCCAATAGCTGCGCGATTGCTGATTCGCCTGCAACACGAAATCAAAACGTTCGCCGGCAGCCATAAAGAAGCTATCAGCCAACACGGGCACAATATCATTGCCATCTGTGCTAATCATGAGCATACGATGATTTTCCACCGAGAACTCTATGGGGCAGTTGAACACACCATTGTAGATAATTCGAAAGCGATAGCGATTGCCACGCGCCACCTGAAGGCGTTCATAGCGATGGCGTGGATCACGATCGGATAAATTCGAAACGTGGTTTCTGCCTTTACCGTTGATGAGTATGTTTCTTACACGATTCACGTCCTGGCCATACACATAGTCCTGCAACAGTAAAGTGTGCTCTGGCAAATCGTAGTCATACAAATACGATTGCCGATCACTCTCCACCGGCTGTCTTATAATGAAACCACCTCCAACGCCCATGCTACGCTGCAAACCAACATGGCTGTGGTAGTAGAGACTACCCGCCCGTTCTGCATTAAACTGATAGCGATATGCTTCAGCTGGCTGTATTGGGTATTGCGTAACAAACGGTGCGCCGTCCATTTCTGGCGTGCGGTACATGGACATGCCATGCCAATGCAAGCTGATCGGCTCTGCGAGGTAGTTGATGACATCAACCACGACCGTGTCATCCACACACACCGAGATTGTTGGTCCTGGAAGCATTTGATTGATAGCCACTATGGGTGTGTACACACCATCAGCGTAAATGCATTGCTGTTTCGGACAGGCACCATCGTTATTAAAGCAGCTTTCACATTCTGCGGTCAGCGCCTGATAATGATGCACCACCAAACGGTAATGGCAAGTAAGTGGCTGATTAGCTTGGCAGCGGCGTTCGCAAGCATGTCGGCCCTTGTTGTCGAATGCACTGAAATTGGCTGATTTGAACGTAGTGTAGCTGTTGTTATTGTTGTTGTTGTTGTTGTGGTGCAATTTATCGAAATTGTGTAAAATATGTTCGAAATCAATAGTGAGCTTTGGTGTTTCCATTTCATCCATAATGTCTGCTGGCATTGCATAATCAACGTCTTTTGCTTGGCTGGTGATATTTTCCCGGTTCTCTTTGTCTGCAATATCAATTCCTTGCGCATTTAAAGCCAAAGCCAGGTAAACGGCCGTAAACGTGGTGAAGCAATGGTTTAAATATTTGTTCCTCATTGCTCAGTTGTCTTTTACTTACTGTTATCGGAACGACCGACTGCAACGCAAGAAAGTATTTTATTTATTGAATTTACTTTCGCCTTCATTTCTTTGTCCACACATTTCTTTATTTTGGCTCTGTTTTAAAAATAATATTGAAGCGTTTACTGCTGCGATGATACTGTCCACTGGCTATTAAGTTGTTCGCATCACATTGGTATGCAAGACGGACTCGCTTTGTGCCGCAATCGCTGTGCAGAATTTGTAAAGAGTTAAAGCAGCTGAAAAGTCTGCATTTTAATCGATAAGTGGACATTTTATGATCTATATTTTGATTTGATTATGAAAACAAAATCATTTAATGAAATTATCTATGTTTTAATAAACTACGTTTATTTACTTGTATTATGTTATTAAAAAATAATTTTATTTTGTTTCAGTTTTTTATAATTTTAAATGTTTTTTATTATTTTTTATTATTTTATTTAAAATAATTTGGTTTATTTTAATTTCATTTTGCTTAATTTTATTTTTCTATTTTTTGAACTTTATTTTTTCTTTTTTTTTAAGTTTATTTAAGCTGATTTGACTTCACTTTAGTCTGTTTTAATTTATTTCTTTTTTTATTTCATAATTTTTTTTTAAATTTTATTTATTTTATTTTATCTCACTTAATTTTTTTTCAATTTAAATTAATTTCATTTTATCATTTTAATTTCCTTTTATTAATTTTATTTTATACATATATATTTATATATTTTATTTTGCTTTGTTATAATTTATTTTAATTATTTTATATTTTAGTTCATTTTAGCTCTTTTAAATTGAATCTATTTTTTTATTATTTTTATTTTTTTTTTATTATTTTATTTAAAATAATTAAATTTATTTTAATTTCATTTTGCTTAATTTTATTTTGCTATTTTTTTAACTTTATTTTTCCTTCTTTATTTAATTTTATTTAACTGATTTGACTTCATTTTATTTTGTTATAATTTATTTCTTTTTTTATTTCAGTATTGTTTTTTTAATTTTATATATTTTATTTTATCTCATTTAATTTCTTTTCAATTTAAATTAATTTTATTTTATATTATATTTAAATTCACTTTGACTAATTTTATTTTATACATATTTATTTATTTATTTTATTTCGCTATGTTTCAATTTATTTTAATTATTTTAAAATTACTTCAGTTTATTTTAGCTTTTTTTAATTAAACCTATTTTGTAACATTTTTTATTTAATTTTTTTTTTATTTCTTTATTTTATTAACGTTATTTTTTTAGTTGAATTTGTTTGTTTTACTAATTTAATTAAATTTTATATGTAATAATTTATTTTAAGTTTGTATATTTTCATTTCATCATATTTTTTTTATTTTATTGTAATTTATTTTGTCTTACTTTATTTCTTTTTAATATAAATAAATTTTTTTTATTTTATTTAGTTTTTATTGAATTTATTTTAAGCACCTTTATTTTATTTTGCTTTGTTACAAATTATTTTATTTTCAATTTAATTTTAATTTATTATTTAATTATATTTTTTATTTTATTTAGCTTAAATTGATTTATTTATTTAATTAATAATTTATTTGCCATTTTATTTGTTTTTATTTAACTTAATTTGATTTTATTTGTCGTTCTTACAGTATTTTGATACCTTTGTCATTTTTTTCATTTACATAGTTTTTTTATGACTTTATTTTTATTTTACTTTTATTTATATTTCATATTATTTACTTTTTTCAAAATATATAATTTTTTTATATACATTTTTTTTATTTATCGTTTTTTATTTGATATTTTTATTCCATTTTCATACTCTTATTTTAATTTTTTTTTATATATATTTTTTTTATTTTATTATATTATTACTGTTTTTTGGCTTTATTTTAGTCAATTTTATTTTGTTTCTTTTTTCTAAATTTCATTTCATATCACCTTATTATATGTTCATTTCTTTGGCTTTGTTTAATTTTTTTTTTTTATTTTTTTAATACATTATTTTATTTTATATTAATTTATTTTTGTTTAATTTTTTTTATTATTTTACTTTGTTGTGCTTTGTTTTATTTTATTTCATTTCGTTTCACGTTTTAAATTTTTTTTTATCTTATTTGATGTTATTTATTTTTATATTTTATATTAAATATATTATTCCCGTTTTTTTTAATTATATTATATAATTTTATTTTTGTTATTGTTTTCACTTTATATTGCTTTATTTTGTTTTAAATTAAATTATTTAATTTTATTTAGATTTTTTGTATATTTTCAATTCATTTAATTGTTTTCTTATTTGAATATTCGGAATACTTATAAAAAATAGTTTCAATAAATTTTGCCGGGTCACCCTGTTATAAAGAAATAAGTAAAATTGCCTCAGGCGATATGCCTGAAAGTATGCAATCATTTCTATACATATTTTTGTTCCAATCATCAGCGACATTCATGGAAGCGCAGTATCTAGTATTAAATTGATACTTTAGAGAGAAAAGTATCAATTTGATACTATTTGGAATTCACTAAGCAACACTGAGTCATTAAAAATACCAAAAAAAATTATATTTTAAGATCTGCCATTTAGCAGGTCATAAAAATCAAAACCAACTACTTTTGCTCTGTCTACACAATTTTCGTAGAAAGTAATGAAGTATGGAAGAGGAACTTGCTGTTTTCTTTTTATTGATTTTGCAAGAAATCGATGGCGTGGAGCTAATATTTGATTAAATGAAAAAGAAACACAGAAAATAAAAATAATGGGAGCATCCGCAGACAACACTTGGTAAGTCTTAACACTTTAACAGAAAAATCATTTTTTTTTTTTCATATTTTGAAGTGTGCACCAAACCGCTTGCCATTTGTAACTTTAATGAGTGAGACCCCAATGGAATACCATGTAAAAGCTCCAAACGATTTTCTGTGCTATTAGAATGTTCAAGTTGTATTTTTGAATCTAATATACCATGCCATGTTCTGTTTCATTGAGCACATGGAGCAAGTTGTGCCATCCCGAAAATCAACCTCTTTGTCTTCTGGTAGCATTCGCTTAGCTCCTTGGTGGTTCTTGGTGCTCGATGATTATCTAAAAAATGTAGTAAATAAATAAAATAAATACCATCTGCAGAAAAGGTCGCTATCAGCTGATCGCTGGAATTCATTTTTCGCCTCATTTTTTAGGCGAATTTTTTGATACTCTCGGTATTGAATTGCAATTGATATTATGGTCACAAAAATTGTATCAACTAAATTGGTGAATTAGTGACTGTACCATCATACTGAATGCCACAGCATATCGATATAAATTCCAACAAGTCTAGCTGTTCTCCCTTTGGTAGTTACATACATACATACATACATGGTCAGGTTAAAAAATTAGGCGATGAAATCAGCTGGAAATCGCTTTCGCTTTATAAAGAGCCAAATTTATATTAGATTAATATACTTTGTAAACTATCTACTTACCACTTTAAATTTTGTTTCCATGTTTTTGCTATTAGCGATCATGCGATCACTGTTATATTCCACTTTACGAGCCCAAATCCGCCTGCAATTCGATTGCAATTCCGGATGTAGAGCAATCGTTAAGCGGAAGCCTTTCAAATGTCGAAAATTCCGATTGAACACATACACATAGAGAAATACAAGCACATTATCACGAATATCGGCTGTTTTACTCACTCAATCACCAACTCACCGTTATCGACAAACTCAATCATATACTTCAATACTGAGAATCTGCTCATTTCAGCGCACACGCATCAAGCACACACAGACAAAAGTGCATCATTTTCGCAATCTGCTTTATTTTCGTGTCTAACGGTATACGCTTGGGGCTATTAGTGAAATCGTTCGTCTATTCACACGACTTTTCTAACGCTTTCCTTCTGTCCGCCAATCGTATACTGTTTTATGCGAATATATGTATGTATGTGTATGTATGCATTTCCATTTGAATACGTGATAGTACTTCAATTCATGTGCTGTGTGCTTGTGTTTGTGTGTGTTTTGTTTGCTTATATATACATATGTATCTACGTGCAACATTGCCATACCAATTTGCAGCAAGTGCTCTGGCGCTTATAATCACACGGTGCAACAACAGCAACACACAACTACAAAAGCAAGGCATACAACATACTAACATACATACATAACACTGCATAAACACATATTCGTATGTATGCCTGCGCTTTTGTGCCGGCGTAACTCCTTTTCCTGTACTTGCTTTTCCTGCCGCTGCAGTTCCGTGTTTCCCGACTAACTTGTATGCACTCCAATGTTTGCCTTCTATGAAATTGGGTCAAAGTTCAAATGTGATAAAAATCGACAGTACAAGTTGTTTTTGTTGAAAATAGTGAAGTGAACGTGCATCCTTACACATACATGAGCATTCATTCATACATACATATATAGATACGAGTATGTAGGTAAGTCTTTCAAAAAGCGCGCGCCCAGAAAAGGAAAACCGACTGCCGCTTTTGCGTCTACCTAGCTGTGCGAGACTGTTGACATCTTCAGCAGTGTAAATATGTTTACATCTTTATGCCTGCATGCTTGGCTACATACAACGTAAGCGCCATTAAAGCTCTGTAAAAGTTTAAAACTCAGCATTTTCTTTTTAATCTATATCCTTATGGTTTATTCCCGTGTACGTGACTGCGGTGCTGAACATTTCTTATTCTAAACAAAAACATCGCTGGGTATGATATAAGCTTCAGAAGCAGCAACAAAAATTGCAAGCATAATAGCTTACCAGACTAGTTGCAATGTACTCTTAGCGGCAGTGGCCCCCCGCCCGGTTTAAAGGGCTGCATCAGTGTTTAATATGGACGTTTTATACTCGATGATTTCGAGTACGTTGATCTTAAGACAATTTTAGTTTCTGACGAAATACAAAAGGACGGAATCGCAAATTTTCTTTATTTTTTTCATTTTTAAATTAAATCATGTCTTCAAAGTTGTATTTATTTTATTTTATTTATTTATTTACAAGAGAACTAATTATAAATAATTAATCCACTAAAGAAACAAGCACTGGCTGCCAAGGCCTTC